ATTCCAGCCTGTCTTATACATTTTCGGGTGTTTTATACTGGTGGGTGGGTAGCAGTAGCAGTTAGCGCTGGTCTCGTACTGAAGTTTAAGGATTCGACCCTGTCGGAAAGTCAGTCAGTCTTCCTACGCACTATTCGCTTATTTTGATATTTTATTGGTACTGGTATATGTCGGGAAGTCAGACCAGTCTCTGGTTTGCTTCTAAGCAACTTTCGAAAGAAAGAGCCATCAACAGCCTTGTCAGAGGTGTTGCTACTAATGTTTGCTGCCACTTGCGCTAATCTTGGATGTCTCCACCTCTCACAAAGGGTGAAGGGGATTTTGACTTTTGGGTCTTATTCATTGTTGCAGGAATTTATTCAGTTATTGTATAGAGACCTAAACTGTGAGCCACCCTAATCTCTTTGGCAGCTGTATTATATGTCTCTGTGAAAAGATCCCTCGCACCGATATTACTTTCCCATTTAGGTTCCCTAATTCAAAATTTGCTCCATTTAGGTATCTCTGCGCCTCGCTGTTACCCAGCTTCTTCTGCTTTTCCTTCCTCTAAGAATGGATTATGCTGCTCTTATGCACAAAAAGAAGACAGCTTTTTCTTCTCAGTTGCTTTTTCCTCTGGGCGCCTCATAATTGCAAGCTCTAGTCGCTTAGAACGGTCAATTTTAGTAAGAATCAAAGTGTTTCAGGCACTTCGCAGATCACTGAAAATGTTCGCGAAGGTCATGGAGAATTTTTCGGCCTAGAAAGACTGAATAATCTTCGAGCAGTTCTGCCTGACAGTGAAGAGGTTGCAACTGATGCGAATTACTACTGCACAACTTTATTATTTCTATTTTAAACCACAAGTTTAAATTAGTTGGGAAGCCTGAAGCAGTGTGTTAATTGATAAATTGTATTCCGAATCGACTTTATGCAGTTTGCATCTGTGGCGCACTTGCGCCTTTGCTGTGACTGATGGAGTGAGTTAAGTAGAGCGAACGAAATAGAATTTACGGTGGTTCGAAATGCGCGAGCAGTATGATAAAGTAACGGATTAGGATGACCAGTCGTGTAATAACTATTCAGGAAGTGTGGTTCGAATCTACTAAGAATTCCTGCGGTGAGACCGCAGAAGAATCTAAGGTGAAGACGGTGGGAATTCCTGACATGCCGGGAGTTGAAGTGCTAATAGTAGGCGGTGTAAACGAAACGTGGTGGCCCTGTTTCTCGACTGAAGCCTGAAATAAAAGTGTCCAGGTTTTATAGGGTATTGGAAAGTACCTTATCGCCCTTCGGCAATCTGGGAATAGCAATAAGAACCTGAAAAAAATTATTATATGAACCATGCATGATGATAAAAGTTACGTAAGAAAAATCGCCGTTGGCAATGGAAATGAAAGATTAAATATCACTCAAAAGCCACATAAAAATTATACAAAGTATTTTAACATTAAAGAATACAACGAATTATGAGCATAAAAAATTACTTTAATAGTTTATATAAAATGTATGATTTTAACATAAAATTATCACTATTTGGGTGCAGCATCCACTTCATTTCATACATTTGAGTTAGCGGACCGCCACAGCGTGCTAATGGCCTTCCTACCATTCTTTTAGCAAGGCGTAGTTGCTACATTCAACTACTAGTTCCATTCATCTGCTCACATCCTTGTAAATGACCTATTCAGCTCCTCCTTGCATACATTTCCTTTTTTACGGATTAAACACCAGGATGAATCATAGCTCTTCGCTGATTAAGAGCTGTAACTTTCCGTTAACCACTACTTGTCCGTTCTTAAATTTTCAAAGAAATCAGTAATTTCCACAAAAGAACCAAATAAATACTTGAAAAAAATCGAATTCATGTCTTCTGTTTTTTTGCGTTTCTGCACATGATGCAAATTAAAAAGCGCATACTGGCAAGAAGCTGTCTATGTGTTTATCTGGGTGTTCGCACTTTTTGTCCCCAACTTTCAACTCAGAAACCAGAAAAGCTAGAAGGCTGAGATGTCAGGACTATGTGCCAACCATCTATGGAACCCTCTCGTTTTAATATTATCACCCGTGTTTACCTTGGCCCCAAGTACGGACATCTCAAAAAATATGCGAATTTTTTGGTGAGGCAGCGATTTCGGGAACCAGATAAGATAAAGAGCTAAAATTTTGCAGTGCATGTTTAAGCTAAAAATTTCAAATTCAGCTTCTAGATGTTCGTGGTTCTCAAGTGCAAGCAGGTGAAAAATTTGGCGGGAAAATTGCCAACTCGGTAATCAGAGAAGCTGGAAGACTAAAATTCTTGAGGTGTATTCCCCCTCCACGTGCAACTTAAATATTCCAAACTTCTCACGTATACATGCTTCTCACGTACTTGAAACTTTTGGAGGGGAATTGCTCGTTGAAGGACTAGTTCATTTTCAAAAAACGACCGTTAAACGAAAATTATTCATTTCCTTAGTGCAAATTTTATGAGTTAAGCTAGGGAACGCAAAAGGTAGGTGTAAAACAACTGGTGCAAAAATGTATGATAGCATCGATAAGCCTGGTGCATTCCAGTTTGGGTTTGAACGATAAAAAGAGCTTACGACGATGCAGCGTTTCAGATTGAGATTTTGCGAGATTTTAGCGGTGATCCTTCACAACTCGGCATTGCAGAAAAATTCTTTCTGAGCCTGCTTGCTGTGCCAGACTACAGGCTCAAACTAGATTGCATGATTCTAAAAGAAGAGCTGGATGCTGCCTTTGAAACACTGCTACCTCAAATCGATACTGTCATCAATGCATGTGTTGGTAAGTTCTGCGATTTTTTGCCACTGTAGAAGTTTCTGAAGCCTACTGAATTTGACGGTTTTTCCCCTAAATTTATATTGTTTCGGACAATTTGAAGACGTCGCATTTCATCTCACATATCAGCGAACATAGTTTTACCGCATGTTAAGTGGGGCACTTAGTTGTTTCACTGTTTTTAGAAATAAAGCGAAGCGAAGCGCTACCAAAAATTTTCTGCATGCTGGTACAAATTGGCAACTTCTTGAACGCCAATGCTTCGTTTGGTAATGCTGCGGGATTCAAGCTGAACTCGCTATGGAAAATCCTGGATGTGAAAGCAGCGCAGAAGAGCATCACGCTTCTTCATTTTATTTCAATGGTTCGTTTCGGCATACAAATGTGAAATCACTGGCGACACGCACTGGGGGGCCCCGTGCGATCATGCGTTTTTACAGTGTTTCCTGCTGTAGTAAGGTTACTCGAAATTCCGTTAGCTAGGAACCTCTTGTGCATACTGGTCCTCGAATTTCAGGAACTTCATTATCCACGCTATAGTTGGACAGGAAACATCCCCTTGAAATCGCAGGTTCCCAGCTTTCTCAGTTCCCAAGTTACCGAAATTGCACCTAAAAAATTTCACGGGGCCGTGCGCAGCTACCACGCATAACGGGGAGCTGAATTTGATAAACTCAAGTTGTGGATGAGTTGAGAACAATTCCTGTAAGTTTCAGCCTCCCAGCTTTCCTGGTTCTGGAGTTATTCATTTTCTCGCCAAAAACTTTCACGGGGCCGTAGGAGGCAAGCACGTATGGCGGGGGACTGAATTTGATAAATTGAAGTCGTAGATGAGTTGGGAGCATTTCCTGAAAACTTCAGCCGCCCAGCTTTCCCGGTTCTGCAGTTATTCATTTTCCCGCCAAAAAATTTCAGGGGGCCGTACGTGGCAACCACGCATGGCGGAGGGCTGAATTAGATAAATTGAAGATGTAGATGAATAGTGAACATTTCCTGAA